AAGCCCTGGGGGGTCAGTCAGTGTAGTTAGAATAAAGGCTGTCTTACGCTTGTCCCTTGAGTTGGGAATGGGTGTAGGAGATTTTAGAACAGGGTCTCGCAAATATAGGCCCCCGCCTTGATTTTTCTGGATCCTTTGTTACTTGTGCAGTTGTGATGTGTTGATTGATGGAGGCAGGGAGGCGGGAAGGTAATTGAAAGATGAGAAGCCGGAGTGATATTCCGTTATGTTTTCAGGTTCGTTGGTTGATTTCTGAGCAGGGATGAAGGTATCTTTACGAAGACCTCAGGCGTGGATTAGGGACCTGATCTGGCAGTGAGAATCTAAGATCACAATTTGAGAGTAGAAAAAACTAATATTTAAGCCTTACTACTACCTCCTTTTTTACTAAATATGCTATTAGAAGCTATATACTACCTACTACTTAGATGAATAGTTAAACCACCTCTTTTGTATACCTAAATTATAGTATAGGTATAAGGCCTTGAAATAAACTACGTCTACTTAAACGTATTACTTGATAAGTGCCTAAAAGCTTTAAAATTTCTTAAGAAAAAATCGCCTATAAAAGACTTTAAAACCCTTTTTCTAGTTCTACTAAAAGAAATTGAATATTTTAGCTTTAGTTATTAAACTCTACTTTTAGTTTAACTCTATTTCTGGAACCTATTTAAGCTATAATAAATAATATACACCAAATTGAGTCGAAGTAGTTCGTAAGTTTCGCCAATGCTGAAAGAGATCACTGAAGAGGTTCTAAGTCTGAGTTCCCTCTAACCTGCACTCTATCTGTAGCAAATATTTTATTGTACTCGAAATTAGGCTCTTCATTTTTATCGCTAGGCTATGGTCTTGGTTTATATCGGAGGCCTTTATATGGTTTGCACCAACTCAATTTCACTTCATGCAGTGGCTGATATGAGCTACAGTAACCACTAATCCATGCACTTGATTCAGACTTTCTTCAGACACTACCTACTCTTCCCGGCAGAAAACGGGACCTTCAAATCTGGCCCCGGACACTAGGGCATCAGTTCAGGTTGGTGGTCTTCACGAAGTTGGCCCCGGCCCAAATTCAATTATCATCACCGCTCACAAATCATCTATCAGACTCCAATCTATCCACCCTTTCGCTGGATGAAAGGTTTTCGTACGCAAATAATATCTAATATCTTTCGCGTCCTCACACTCTCTTCGCTCCACCCTCCAAAACCCGCCCTCTCCAACGCCTTCTTTACTTTACGCTTCTCGGCACTATCATTGTTGCGCATCCCGTCTACTTCCATATAATTCCCTAGTATTTGGCTTCGTTTCCAAGTTCTCTGCGCCATGAAACCTACAGAGGAAATCTCTTGGTTAATCATCAATAACGTAAGAGCCTTGGGAAAATATCTGGAGCGAGTTGATCCGTTTAGCGGAGGGGTTAAGACCACCGCCTCCTTCATTGAGCCAAACTCTCAGGAACCGTTCGATGTTGTGGTCAGAATTGGCTCAAGCTTCGCCTGACAAAAGAGCAATGGTTTAAGAATGACGCTTGAAATAGACGGCGGTCACGTTAACTAATGGGAGTATATCCATGGAGACGGCGAACCTACTTGGACTCTGAGAATGCAGTCTACGACCGTTGAAGTGGATGATGTCTGGCTAAAGCACCGTTTGCATTTTGACCAAGTACGGTCTGGTGAGCCTACCGGCTGACTCCTAGAAAATTTCGTGGAAGATTTGCTAGCTCTTTCTTAGGTACCGACCTAGTACTGTCGAAAATGAGCATAGAAACCCAATATCGGAAGGTCGGACGAATAACCGCTTTTCTTGAACTAGCCAACACAATTGCCATGGACAGCCGGAGTCTCAATGCCACAACCCTCCTCCTGCGACGCTTTGGACAGTGCAATAGAACAACCGATCCGTTCACTATGAGGACTGGGGCAAGGGGTTACGTGATGCGTTGGTGTGGGTAGTGTAAATACCGAGTTATATGATATTGTGACAACAGCTAACAGGGAAAAGTCTGCAGAAGTCGATCCGCTTCACACTGGCTGAGATATGATAACCGTACCGTTTTCTATTCTGGTGCACTTTTCTTGGTAAGCCGATTGTTCGCTATTTCCAGCCAGATCCTGTTGCGAAACGTTCTCTGATCTTTATGTGTTGTAGAAGGCCTACGAGCCAAGAAACTTGTCCCCGGACTTCCCCTAAGCAGTAATGCTCCCAACACCCTCGCAACTAGTGGTGTCTCTGGAGACTAAACTATCTTGCCATAATTCTTGTTCACTGAGTTGACCGAAGAAATTCTCGCCGCTCAAAAACGCCCCGGCCAACGTTGCGAACCAATCAACCAATTCAATTCAATTCAATTCAATTCAATTCAATTGAGTGATTTGCAACCTTACCCCCGGCACGCCTTCTACGGAACGAGGACGAAATCCACCCAGATAAAATGCGACGGTCGCATCACCCTCAATGTGGATTCGGCCCACCATCGAAGAGGCGCATGTTGGAAATGATCAGCAACTCGTCACTCAGGAAATTCTACCTGGTCCTAGAGCTCCGGTGGCGGCTTAGTTGGGAGCACCGATTGCAGTAATGACCCGGCGGGATGTCGATTTGGATTATCTGATTCGCAGACGGGCACTGAAGCTGGTGTTGAACTGACTTGATTAGTGCTGATTACTATTGATTACTACTGAGTAGTGCTGATTAGTGCTGATGAATACTGATTACTACTGATTACTGATGAACTTTACTAAGAGCTTGTCAATGGGTTCTTTACTACACTCTTTATGTATATATAGCCTCTTCTATCATCCAATAAGACATTCCATTCCTTCCTTCCAAAGAGTTCAACAGCTGGACATTAAAGATACTGAGACAGGCCCGAAATTTAATCGGGTTGAGAAGCAGAGAGAAGCTAAATTAAGGAGTACTTGAAACTGCAGGTGAATAAGATGAATTACCAACTCGAACTCAACGGTTATTCTTGAGGCTTCTTTAATGTTGTTTGGCTGGATTGATTTCGAGAAGTCTCACTGTCATTTTGTTTCTTCGGCAGAGTTAGGTGTTGCGGGCTTGGCATAATTGGACAGTGGAATAATTGTGCGGCGTGAGCGGAAGGCACGCAATGTCTATGGTTGGCCTGACGTTCGTAGGATATCATATATTGAGAGATAATGAAATTGCCGTATCAAACCTAAAAGAGCCTACATGTCCCAATTTTAAATCTTTATTGAGCTTCTTCAGATGGAATTTCTAATCAATAAGCTAATGAAGCTCGAGGTTTACTATCGCGGGCGCAAGCCAATGGACTACGAGCCTGCCCATGGCGAAGACTGCTTTCGAGATGGTGGGACTGAGTCAAAGAGGCGAAACGCTGAACGAACAGTCAGCCTGCCTTCATCAAAATGCTTGATCGTGTGTTCACCTGCTATCTGCTCATTCGACATTACTATGAGATTGTGAATGTATCTGTAAAGTAACGTAGTTTTACTTTTGTAACAATTTTATTTCTACTTTATATACTGACTAATTTTACTGCTCCCCAAATTCTGGATGCAATATAGGCCTGAACGCGTTGGTCCAGTGGGTAGTTCGAGGAGTAGCTACCCCTTAATGCTGGCCACCTCATACTAAGTCCTGTCTACTTATCAGTAGGACAATGTATCTCTGGACCTGGCCCACCTAGATAGGAAGTTTTTCTCTTGAGAAAAAGTAGCAAACCGTTAAATGGTGGTTGCTTGTCAGCATGACCGACTAATAATAGGTTATTGCCCCCTTTGCTTATTTTTGCTGCTCTCTGTTTTTCTAACCCAAGTTAGAATTCACCTTATTATTTATTTATAGTAGAATAATATACAAGAGATAAGTAAGGAAGAAGTATGTCTAACATCTAACATTATTCTTTATATAGCAGCTACCTAATTTAAGTATTAGTATTAGAACCTTGTAAATATAACTTACAACGAAAGAACTAAGCAATTCTATTTTATTGTGTAAAAAATGCTCGGCCACAACTTTTGTTAACAACTACAACGCTATTTATAACTCGAACTTTCTTACTAACATTCTGAGAGCTTACTTCTTCTAGTTCTTTTTTTGCACCGTTCTTATCTGCAGCAATTTCTTTAAATTCCAAATCAATATTATTCACCCTAATACCTCGGAGACTAGAAAGTCTTACCGGAGGTCTTCTCTCGAACTTTAACAGCCTTCGTGCAACGCGACAAGTTAGGTATGGAGTTGGGAGAAGGAGACTGGCCCGTCCATCTCGTGCTCGATTGCTAGCGTTCGGGAAAAGCTACACGTCAATAAGTATGCGCTTTGTCCGTTCAGAATCGCCTCAGAAGTAGAAAAGGTAGAATAATGGGAGACATAGCTCCGGCGCTATTGGCCAACGCTTTCTTACTATATACATCATTGTCGTCCAAGTGGCTGTTCAGATATCACGGGTTGAAATTCCTCAAACGACAGCCCGAACAGGATTAAAATTGATTCGGAATAAGCCTTTGATTGGAATACGCTATTCACAGTATGCGCGAAGGTGCTATAACTCTCCGGTCGGTTCCAGTTTGAAAATCGAAATGAGTCGAGCGGTCTGTAAATACTCATTTCGAATGGTATTTCTTGGGGCCAACAGGAGGAAAATGAATGGTTACATGTTAACTTAAAGGGAACGGAGGAGGCTGGCAATCAGGCAAAGCTTTCCGAAGCGTAGCAAAGTTGGAGAGAAGGAAGGAGGTTGAGGGCCGGAGAGTTTTCGGACGCCGCTCGGTTGATGCCCTCAGCAAACGCAGCCCGGGACAACCCGAAATCAACTCCCGGTCGCGGATCAGGATAAAAAACTTCCCGGATGCAATGGTGCTTCGACATCATTGTATCTAAGGTCAATCGATTCTAGCTAGAATGAAGCTATTATTGAGTGGAGAGATGATCAACCATTTTGTGTTATATTTTGTAGTATATCAATTATAGAGTTTTACGTTTCTTCCATCAAATCAGATGACGGCCATATGGCCCAATGGCAAGGCGCTTGACTACGAATCAAGAGATTCCAGGTTCGACCCCTGGTATGGTCATTTCTTTTTGTATAAAAATTCTTATTTGCCACCTCCAAGTTTTTTTGGGCAATACTGTTCTAACTAAACAGTCTATGGGAAGTATAAGTTTTAATTTGTTTTACATGTTTTTGTGTCTCTAGCAACATGAATTCGCTTTCCAGGCTTCTCAGTGGAAACCCTTACGCGCTTGAATGTCCGCGACCTAAGTCCCCGTAACTTCTCGTGCACATCAATTACATTTCGATATTCTACACGGCCTACCTCCTGCTCACCTCTGACCCTTCACATCAGCGATAAACCTCATCGCCTCGCCTTTGGCGAATTCTCTGGGAGCCACGTCGAGCCCATTCGCCCAACTCTCGTGGCCAAGGCAATAGCCAGCGATGAGCTTCGGAAGACGGAATTCGGCGTACAGCGTCTGTTGAGTGGACGCGATATAAAAGCAGACGTAGGAGCCTGGATCTCGCGTTTAATGGCACATAATTGCATCCTGAAAGGATGGGTTGGCCATTTGAGGCTGCGGATAGAGAGACAAAAGACCTTGCAGGGAAGATTGCATATCACCACCTCCAAGCAATTCCGCCACGCTTAGCTTTGATATGGCGCCTTCTACCCCTGCATTTCCGGCCTTTGGATGCTATTGGTGTCTTGGGTCACGCGCCTGGATACAACGCAGAGCCAACAGGGAGCCTGATCTGGTTCTCTTCTGAGAGTGATAGAGGTGATTTTCAATGCCAAAGGTCAAACCAAGCCCCCAAAATGGACGATGTCGTCTGGTGCAGAACTCGACAACCCACAAACACGCCATATTTAAGCGGCGTCCAGAGGACAAAACAATGAGATCTTGGGTCTTGCTAATAATAGCAACGCCGTTTTCAATCCCATGCGGGTTTTCCTGTCAACGTTATGTCCTTGTCGTCAGGGGTCTACGTTTCAGAACAAGAAGGATGACATAGTTCGAAGCGATGAGACAAGATATGTAAACTTGTTCGGAGTTCTGCTCTCACGGATTGAGTCATGGAAGCATTACTATACAGCGGTCGGCCTAGCTTGGAGTCTGATCTATGGAACAAGACGCATGCCCACCGGAGGGAAATGGCCCAGCAACCGCAGGGTGAAAGTGGACACTTGAAATTGTGTGACGGTTCGGCAATATAGCACTATATGCTTTCAGAAACCCACTACCGGATTTTTTGGAGGTACAGTAACCTAGGAACCATCAACTTTATTCTACGTATCCATGTTTCGGTAATGACGCAAATATTTTCAAACAAAGCTGTTCGATACTCATTTGTTTTCTAGAAGGGAATATGCGATTTGTGAAGAGGGATGGCCATGACCTTGGCAAGGAGACTTCAGAGCCTCAAATGGATGGCGACTTCATTGAATGCTTCTGGTTGCATTATTTGTCGACACTGCGAGGAAGGGGCAATGCTGATTGCAATCTTTGTCGGCTGCGCAGCTGTTCATTGACTGATGAATGGTCAAAGGCCTGTCAGGCAGCATGCGCTGGGGAATCCCAGGATACAAAGGCAAGAACCCAGCAATTTCAAAGGAACCGAGATAACCGTTCAAAGTTTGAAACTCAAAGTCGTGCAGAACTTGGGCGCGCAGTATAATTATAATTTACAGAGAGGACCCTGGCCCACCTTTGCCTAATTCACGCATTGGCCTCGCGATACATCGACTAGAAAGGAAAATGTACACAGGCTTTAGTGATCCATGCAGCATGCAGGAATCAGTAAAATCGATGGTTGTCAAAAGCCAGAGTCTGCTGCTCCGCTACAGCGTGCAACCCGAGATTTGCGCTTCATTGACAAGCGTACTGAATCATAGAAACCATATTTGTTGGGCCAGGATGACAGAAACACTCCTATCGACCAGTAGGGAATTCAACTATCCTAATGCCGAATTCCCCATTCGCCGAGAAAATCGGGGTACACAAAATCTAATGTATGCACTTTCTGGCCGAAGTGAATGAGGCTGAGGGGTGCAACTGAATACACTGCATTTTAGTTCCCTACCGACTTGAATAGTATTTTGATAGACTAAAGATCTCACGAGAGCTGTGTTGTTGGAGCTATTTCGGGGAATGAGTGTGGCGTACGGTGGCGGAGGCTGGCGGACAGTTTGCTTGGCGATTAGCAAGATTTTCCTCCTCCGCCGTAGTCAAACTTTGGGGGCGGAGGAAACCAGCACGGGCTAAGTCATGCTCTAAACCACCAACACTGTGCTGACGACAGCCTGTCGGAACGGACAACGTAGTTGGCCCCTAATCTCGAGAACATGGCTCAAGCGAGTTCAAGCTACCGTATCTACACCATAGCTTGGTATGCTTTGCAGCTTCTCTTCCCTGGCGATGCTGCATTTCCGCTGGCATGAAGTTCATCTCAGCTTATTATAATCTATGAATGATCACTAGTGTGGCTAGCTTAGCTGAGTAAAGACTGAAGGATCCAACCGCACGTTGTGCTTCGCTGGATATATAGCCTGGTAAGGATTCTTTCCAAAGATGTCTCTCCTCCACTTCGAGTTCTTCGGCTTTGCTCGTCACTTGTATGCCATTTTACTTTTGATAATTTTCGTCTTTTCCTTGGCTTGAAACGGAACGGAATCCTTCATCATGGGTCACCAGGAACATCTCAGCTTCTTTTCTAGCCCCTTGAAGCATGCAGAACACAGCGAGAAGGGGAACCACGAGCCGCCCCAGTCTTATGAACTATATAATGGAAATGGGAATACCAATGAGAGTGAGAATGATTCGTATGAATCTGCGAGCAAAATGACTACAAACGCCAACACTGTCCCTTTCGAGAACAACGATGAGAGCCTCCATGACACTCCACAATTCCATCGCCATGCCGAAGCTACGACAGCAGAGCTCTTTTACGATCTTTTCTTTGTGGCAAATCTCACAACCTTTACCAGCTTGCTAGATATCAATGACCATCAATGTAATACACTCTGATCTCATCCCGCTTTTCGACTTGCTAACCACGCTGACCAGCCCTATCCGCCTATATCGGTTTCTTCTGCATCCTTTGGTTTACTTGGTACCAAGTTTCCCTTTACGATGTGCGCTTCGCATCCGACAGCATCTTCGAGCGGATGTGCAAAGCTTGCCACTTTGGAGTCATGATCGGCTTGGCCGTTGTGGCGCCCGATTGGAAGCCCGGTAAGGCGATAAGCGACTATAGCACGTACAAGGCCTTGACACTCATCCTCATGGCAAGCCGTTTCGTCCTGGTCGTTCAATACGGAAGCACCCTATGGTTCACCTGGCGATATCGCCGGACCCGTCTTCCCCTGATTTTCGTCATGGGTTCATACACCATTGCTGGGATCTTGTACGGTGCTCTCACAGCAGCATTTCCCAAAGGCCCGGAAAAAAATACAACCAACGTCTACATCGCCTGGTATGTCATCGCCATCTTGGAGACGGCACTCACAACCGCGGTCTCCTGCAAATGGCGCATCATCAGCTTCAAGGGAACACACATGCAACAACGCATGAGTCTATTAACCCTCATTATCCTCGGCGAAGGCATTATCGTCATTGCTAAATCCATCTCCAAGATCGTAAAGAACTATTACACCTTTACTAGCCCCGTGATCGGCAATATCGTCTCAGCCATTCTCATCATCTACTTCCTCTACATGCTCTATTTCGACCGCATGCTCGAAGACCACTTCGGCACCATCAAACAACAGATCTGGGCATTTGCACACTTCCCGCTGCACATTGCACTCGTGCTCGTGCTGGAAGGTACCTCTAACTTCATCACTTGGCGCCAGGCCGTCCAGGGCATCAACGCCGCCATAGACAACCTGCAGACCGATATTCTTGATTATAAAAATGGAAACTTCACTACCGCGGCAGAGTTTATACATGCACTCAATGACACTGCCTGGAATAACGCCTTCTACTATGTCCCCAAAGGCATTGATGTTTCGAGCTCACTGACAGAGGTCAACAACGCGTTCGCCGTGATTAGTAACGTGTGGAACGAGACGGCGTCTGGAAGTGCACAGAACAATACGGCCAGTGATGAGTTTACCCAGAGCCTGGAGGACATTGTTTTTGCGCTCGCAAACACAATCCTAGAGAGCTTGAGTATCGAAGCGCCGGAACCCAAGGTCAAGGATGGGGCGGCGCTTCCGACCCCAGCTGAGCAGACGCAGAGTTTGTTCAACGTGTTCAACCTAGTATTCATTTATTTCTTCGTTGCCGTAAGTCTTCCCCCACAGCCTCCTCTACCCTCTTCCCCCTCACAGTACCATGCTGATCACACTACACTCCAGGCCGGGATCACACTCATCGTAATGGGCTTCCTCGCCATGCTCTCAGACCCCCCAAAGAAACGAGGCGACTATTTCCGCGGCGTTCCATATTTCGTTGTCGGCATTGGTATTTGCCTGCTCAGCCTGATGAATTTTACCGACGCTATAAGCAATTACGCTCCCAGTCCTTGGGTCCTGCCGACGTTGTGTTTGAGCTTGTTCTTCGTCGTCGTGGCTAATCATATGAAGAAGAAGAAGAAGGAACATTAGGGCCGGGAAATGATTATTTTCAGGGACGTGGAGCTGGAGGCTTGTATAAAGGAGTGGGAAGGGGGTGGGGGAGAGGGGGAGGGTGGAGCGGGTGTGCCTGAGAAGGTTTTTGAGGGCTGTATTTTCTGGATGGGACGAAGAAAACAATGTTATTGCATGGTCAGAGATGTCCCCCTTTGTGCTGGAAGAGAATATGGCATGGAGGAAAGACCAGGACGCCTGGACGCATTTTCACCGCCAAAGCTTGGACGGAGGGGTTTAAGAAGGTTCTTAATTCACTCCGCACTGTTAGAAAATTGGAAAATACGTTGGAGCGGGGGTATGCTTTTGGAGAGTGGTGAAATCCCCAGGCTGGAGGGGGCCCAATCGGGATGACGATCATGTATTCGTCCGTATTTGGCGTTGGAAATCCTCTTCAACCTAGCAGCCTCGGTAATGCAGAACCAGGGGTATATATATTATACGCA